TCGGGGACCTAATATCGGGGTACCCAAGCAGATGGAACTAATAAACCATCGAATGTTAAAAAAACTTCCGAACGGACAAGAGCACTGCTGCGCTTCTTGCCCGAACGACGGGAGTTTGGTTCCACCTCGCCCGACGCCCATAGGCCAGCTCTGCCTCACCCGACGGCTGGAGGATGGCTTCGCCTCACCCGAGGGCTAAGGGCTCGGCTCTGCCTCACCCGAGGGCTTAAGTCTAAACTACGCCTCGTCCAATCCCCCGAGGGCTGGGCTCGGCCTCGCCCAACGGATAGGGGCTAGGCTCCACCTCGCCCGATGTCTGAGGACGGACCTCGCCTCACCCGATGTCCAAAGGCTGCCTCCTCCTCACTTGACAACCACACCCCGCTCCCTCATGATGATAGGCATGGGGTAAGACAAGACATTCGGGTCAAACCGCAGCATCGAGGACCATTCCCTGCGCCGCTGAGGAAAGTATTGTCAGAGCACGACGGGATGAGCACTTTAGACCCTTCCAGGCATGGCAGGGTTGAATAGTGTTGTGGGCGCATACTTTTCGCCCTACAGTGTTGTAGGCGCCGCCTTCAGCCTCCGGGTGAGGAACCAGACATCAACATAGGACAACCAATACAGTCCAAGGAGGGACTCCCATCCTCTACAGTAATGAATGAGCGGTCACCGCACCATCCGCTCCCCACAGGGCCATGGGAAAACATCTCAGCCTGACACGCCGCCCGTGGAGGCAGGACGGGATATGACCACTTGCAGATCGGGTAAAAGCAAAGTATCATCAGCACACAGGCACCCGGCAAACATGCCAACCTCTGACACCAGCTGCCCATGTCTGCAAGGCTGGCTTGGAGGAAAAGGAAGACCCGAGCCCTTTGAAGGACCTTCTATACCTTGGTATTTTTCTCTTTCACCCATCTGTAACCCCTACTCCCCCCTTTCTACTATAAAAGGGAGGGTAGGGCTCCCCACTGTAGAGGACCGAACGACCGACTTTCAATGGACAACTCACATACAGACGAACTCATAGAGAGTTCAGTTCGACTCACATACACAGCCAAGCCGCCACCAGGCTCTTGGCCTCCTTTCGACCCTTCCATCAGAGACATGGGACCAGTCCCTCTCTCAACCGTTTGTACCCCTTACTACGAACCGCTTTCAATGCTAATAACATGAGCAGCAATAGACTGGACATAGGGACATTCAGCCCAAACCAGTATAAACCTTGTGTCCTTTAGCGCACCATCCAGCCTAACACGCATAATTATAAATTTACTAGCCGGTGCTTGTTCGAAACAACGATAGTTTGGGTTCGCCTCCGCACACAGCCGCCGTTAAGCTTGCGCCGCCTCGTAGTTTGTTGTTGAGCTCGCACCCACCTTTCTTCCCGACGCTTCAATGGAGCTATGGGGCAGATCCGGCATTACCTCTCGGTGTTTGGAGGGCCTTGTCCGCCGCGGCCTTCTCTGCCCTCAGTTCGCCGTCGTGGTGTGGCTGCTGCCTGGTGAGGAGGAGGCGTCGGCGCCGCCCGAAGGGTACATCGTATCTTTTGCTATCTTCCATGAGTGGGGATTTGCCGTACCCGTGCATAGATTCCTTCGGGGGCTGCTGGATTATTACTAGGTGGAGTTGTAGCATCTTACTCCCAATGGGGGTTCAATATATGGTGGCGTTTGTTGCCCTGTGTGAGGGTTTCCTAGGGATCGATCCCCACTTTGATCTGTGGCGGCACTTCTTCACCGTTAGTCTGTCGAAGAGGCGGGTTGGGGGGAAGGAGAAGAATGTGCCGATGGGTTGTGCAAGCATTCATTTGCACCATACCTGGTTGAGGGACTACCCATTGATGCGTTTGTCGACCTCCAACAAGGGGTGGCATTGCAGTGGTTTTATGTCAGGGATGATGTGAGTGCTCTCCTTCCAAAGTACACTGGGCGCTTCATCGAAGAGGCTCCGCGGTCGTGGTAGTGGGGTGTCCTGACTAAGGAGAAGAAGCACATTATAGACCTTCTCGCCGCCCTCCATGCTCTGAAGGAGCAGGGCGTGAAGGGGTCAGGGATTATTGACGCCTACCATGCGAGGAGGGTGGCGCCGCTGATGGCGCGTGCGCTTCCCCTGCACCGGATGGTGCCTGGAGCATCGTTTAAAGGGACGGTGCTTGTCGATGAAGCGCTTCCTCCCTCCAAGGTGGCACAGCGCATCAAGGAGGCGATGGAGCCTTCGAAGGACACCGCTGGCGCCACCCTTGACCATGTGTATCCGATGCCAGGGCATCCCCCAATGCTCTGGAACCAGGGTTTTTTGAGTTTGTAAGCTTTCTTTCCCCGCGCTCCTCTTCTTACTTGAACTTTTTGACCCTTTGATGCTGACATCGGGGTGTTTGTGGACCAGACAAGGAGGCTAATCTTCAAGGACAGTTCGGCCCCAATGCCGAGGGATCGGGTGCTAGTGGCATCGAATCGTATTGCGGCCGAGTGGGACAAGAAGACAAGGGAGCTCAAAAACCAGGAGATGCGACGGAAGCAGGAAGCACGGGATCGAGGAGAGGATGTAAGCAGTGACAATGACGACGACGACGATGATGATGATGGTGATGAG